TTTACCCTGAACGGGTTGAGAGGTCAGTGCTGAATACATTCTCTGTGTATCGAAAAACTATTTCTTATCTGTGTTTTGTCTGAATTACCATGTTTAAAATGCTTTTTTAAAAATAAGAAATTAATTTGATAATTTCTTACATTATTGAATTATCAAAAGCATTGCTGAGAAAGGACAAATTTTGTCAAAGTTCATCAGGATAATTCACAGGAATTACCAGAGTATTGGATGTACAAGACTCATACTGTCTATAAAACAGGAGAGGGCTGATTAATTAGCAAGTGAACTCTGATTAGGAGAGGTGTTGCCATGGTGAATGCATCAGTTAGATGATGACTGACAGTTAACTGCAAAACATTTTTTAAAAATATTAAACCACACAAATTAACTCTAATTGGTCAAGACAATGCCCTAGGACATGAAACTGAGAATAGGTGTCACCAGTTTTGTTTGGTTGAAACAGGTACATTGCATGTACATATTCTTTTTGTCTGCGAACAACAGGGTCCTATGCATTAAATATCAAGCTTCTAATGCATACAAATGTGGACACTTAAGCACCAGATGGACCATTATAAATTAATTATCAGCATACATCTTCACACACTCTACACTATTTAACAAATGCTGTCCAATTATAGAATCACATCAGTTGTTGGACACTATGTTTTAAATTTTGCAAGTGCAGCCTGGTTAGATAAGATCAGTACCTTGCTTGCTGTGAACCACTGAAGAGATATGTTGTTTGATATAACCTGCCAGTCTTTGCATTGTACGGTCTGTTAAGAATGACACCAGCACTGAAATTCATATGCCACTGAACTCATCTGTTTGATAGGTGGAATATCCTTTTGACTTTATGTTAGCATTTTGTTAGTGGCAAACAGTACTTGTGTTGCCACTACAAAGTAGCTGTGTGAAACAGCTAGCTTCATCAGTTGCTGTTTCTTTTCAGATAATGTAATATGAAGTAGATTGGGTGGTTCTCCGGACCAAAAATGACACTCTTGGGTCTGTTCATGATTTATGCAATTTATAGCAAGAACTGATCTGATTCTGGGGGACGGATTTGATGTCCCCTATTTGCACAATCAGCAAATGGATCGGACCCTATTTACAAGGATTCCAGTAAGGCCAATCTTACAGCAAGTGGAATTGTAGGAGTTCCAACATGTATCCAGACCAGTGAAGGTAGGATTGCAGTAGACAGTATTGGAGAACCCCAAATTCTGAACTAGGACATCAAGGGAAAGGAGTTGATTTGACAGATCCATTTCAAAAGTAAATTTGAGCAGAGGATGGAGCCCATTATGACATATAAGAGAATTTTTATATGCTGCTGTGGATTCAGACATAGCCAATGTATTATTAACATATGGGTAGGAGGTTAAATGTCATTCCATCAAAGTCAAATTTTGAAAGTAACCATCTCACTCAACGAACCAATCCAGTGAACAATTGCTGTACTGCTTCGAAAACAAATGCTATATTTCATTCTTCAAACGTTGGGATCAAAATTCCACATAGTATTCTATGTGTGATCATACCAACACCCTCTACAACTGTAGCAAGATCTCTTTATTCTTGTATTCTAATGCCTTACAATAAAGGCCCATATTCAGTATGCTTTTTTAAATTATTTGTTTTTCCTTCCTGCTATTTGTTTGTATTCCTTGAATGAGTACACCCACATGTTTCCAAACATTAGTGTTTCCATGTTTCACAATTTTAAAAAACAGTATTCTGCTTTTCTGCTTTTACAGCCAATGTGAATAACCTCACACTTTCCCACATTATCCACTAACTGCGATCTTGTTGCCCACTCATTTAACCTTTTTATTTGTAGGCTGTCTTTGCCCCTCTCTAGCCTTGTATCATCAGCAAATATAAATGCATTATTCTGTGTTTCTTTGTCTGAGACATTAACATTAATTGTAAATATCTGATACGCCAACAGCACTCTAGTTGTCACAGCCTGCTAACTTTAAAATGCTGCCTTTATGCCTAGCCTTTCCTATATAACTGTTAATTTTGTGAGACCTTATTTTGTATGTTAGTCTTTCATGTGGCACCTCACCAAATGCCTTTTGGTAATCCAAGTATACAACATCTACTGGTTCCTTTTTAGCTAGCCTATCAGTTGCATGCACAAAGAATTCCAATACATTTGGCAAACATGGTTTCTCATTCATAAGACCATGTTAACTTGTTCTAATCATATTACACTTTCCAAAGTGGACTGTTAGGACTTCCTTAATAATAGATGCCACCACTTTCCTGATGATTGATGGCATATGTTGAGTACAGAACTCCAAGGATGGTACATAAAAGGGCATTGTAGCCCTCTGAAAGGAGAAGCCTGACAATTCAGTGTTCTGAAATGAATGATTTGATCCAGAATATATGTTCTTTCTATTTTGCTTACAAAATCAGGACAATAATAGGGTCTTTGCATCTCAAAAAGGCGACATGCAATGAGAAAACCTACCAGACCTTAGAATCCAGTCAAAAGGGCTTCAATCTTTAGTAATCCAGTAACAGGACATTCTGGTTTTAAGTATTTCACAGATCGACATTCTGACCATGGATACAATAAACGAATAAGTTCAAAGTATATTGAGAAAAGTATGTTCTAGCATTCACTAGTGTAGGGCATAGACATTGTGGCCTGCATTAGCAATTTGCAGTTTGGAGACCTTGCAAAACAAGTTGGAGTAGGAAACTAAAATTACATTAATGTTTAAAATCGTAAACACCCACAATTCATATTTAATCAAATAAAAATTAATTACAAGTAACAATGAATTGAAAGGTGAGGATCAGGGATCTGAATTCTCATCGTCAACGAAGGGCCCAATCATATTCTAAATTATTGGTCTTAATTTAACATTCCTGCAAGTTGGCTGTGCTTAAAATTAAAAGTTCAAAAGCATATCACATGCAGCATTGCAACAGAAAGAAGGCTGAGAGAAAAGAGGGGCTATTCTGTGATGTATGGCTTCTGCTATTCTAAATAATTTACATTTGGTTTTAATCCCTCAGGGACATGGAAATCCTATAATATGGTTGGTGGGATGTAGAATTCCCTTGTTGCAAAGGAGGGGAGAAAAAGTTTTATATATATGTATATATATTTTATATAATATAGTTTTTATATATATATATATATAATTGTATGAATGAAGCCATTCAGAAAGTCTGCAGCAGCCTAACCTCAATGAACTTGAATCCTTAGAGCAGCTGTGGTTCGTCAGTCAGCAAACAGGCCTGGTCACCCAATAAAGGAAGTGCTGTCAACCGTGGACACGTTTAATAACTCCACTCGGGCTCTTTAGTTGGCTGGGGGTGGTGGTGGGATTGCAGGGGGAGTGCCAAGCGATAGTTATCATCCTCCTCTTATTATTTGCTCCTTGCAGTGAGGTGATTATCTAATTATTTCCTTCGCTGTGGTCGCTGATGACCAAAGCTGACCAGAACTTCCAGTCATTTATCAAGTGATTGATGTTGCATTTGAAAGTGTCAGGAGCCACCAGATAACACGAACAATAAAGAAGTAGATTAAAAATAAACCTGTTGGCCCTTTACTTCGCAATTCAAGGCAGCCAGTATCAAACTACTTAAAGAATTGGAACATTGCTGCAGAATATTATGTTTATAGTGCTTCAGAGCTACGTTTTGTCCTTTAAAAGAAAGTACTTTTTAAGGAACCTTTTTTGATTCTCTCGGTAATGCAAATCAGACCTTATAGAAGTGTCATAAAAAGACAAAGTGCTGCAGAAGCTTAGCAGGTGTGGCAGGATTAGCAGAGAAAGTAGCAGCGTTAACGTTTTGAATCTGATTTTACTTTTCTTCAGAACGTTCATTTTGCATAAGCGCTCAGTATACTGCTTTGTAAAGTATTATTAAAAATTAGAAATATATATTCATCTTATTCTTCACAATATCATTAATAGTTATGTGGCTTTGAAACAATGACAGGGATGAGTTTGCTCATCTTGAATGAATGTGGGTGTTAAATTGATGGAACTTGCATTTATACAATGCCATTTACAATTGCAGATCATCTCAAAATACTTCATAGCCAATGAAGTGGTTTGAGGTCTAGTCATTTGGAATGTAAAGTTTTTTGCCGTGCATTTATAAATCCACATGCGTTTGAGTTAAAATATATGAGCACTTACAGTCAACAATCATGGTGTGCGTACAAATCTGATATTTTTATACAATGTGGCTTTGTATGTAAATAATGATAGTTTTCAATTCAGAAGGGTGATAGTTATAGTGGAAAAATTGGTAACTTTGCCTACACAAACAAAACATGGCATTTAAAATAATTCCCTGTTAAGTGAAACCCTTTGGTACATTTCCGAGTTCTGTAAGGTGTGAGAAAATGCAAGTCTTTAATTCTCTCAGTACTCTTATTGAAAGTTGTTTTGTTTTACAAAAGAAATGGTGTAATCTTGTTTCAAAATGTTTTGGATTCATTGGAGGGACCATTTTCAGAAATATAGCCTGGTAGTCTGTGAAATGAGGACAGAGAGTTTGTTGACATGCTAGCTTTTAATTATAATAACAATAATAAGAAAAAGATGGAAGATCATTTTTATAGCAGGAAAGTATGTTCATGCTATTGCAAAACTTGCAGAATCCTAATAATTAAACCCCATGTATTGTACAATTCTGCAAATGCACAGTGTACAAACAGAAAAAGATAGAATGGATTAGATGTTTCAGAAAATCGAAATTATTCAAAGACTGAGGTGATTTATTAAAAATTCTAACAGTAGCTTTACTTGCAATACTTTGAGATGTTAAAAGTGCTATTTTCACAAATAGGCACAGCAGCTCTTTATTTAGGGATACGTCCTGAATTTGTACATTTAATCTGCAGCGTTGTTGGAATGCTACAGCTCTTTTATCCCAGAACTGCTGCATGTCACTGTGTAACCATTAACATGCAATTTCATTAATACCTCTTTTTTGAATGTTCTGTTTGGCAGATGACTGCAAATATTCCACAGTAAAGTGAAGAAACCCTAGTGCCCTTATTTATAAGAAAGGTAAGTGAAATCAGAATCCACTTTCCATGTCTTTTCAATTGTTGTTAATTAATTCACAGCTGGTTGTCTTACCTTTTCGATATCTAAGAACATTCTTCCATGTTGCTAAAATTCTGTTCTAATAATTGGTATTTGCTATCATCATATTATGACTTCTACAAGTAGTATCACCGAGATCATTATTGAAGCATGTTGCAGTGGTACTGTACAAACTAATATTAGCAATTGGTGACAGAAGGAGGGTTATACTAACAATACTGCCCTGAATCAAGCAAAATGATTGCTTGGCTTTGACAAGAAATTCCAATTTTTCAAGTAGACAAATCCACTGAATTTGGAAAGAGAATCACATGAGTCAAATTTCCAATGAAGCAAGCAATGTATATGGGTGTGTGTGAGGGAAAACAGTGCAAATCAGTTGCTGAATTAGTGAATGAATTCTTAGTGAGTTGCTAACCATATTGAGCACAGGTTATAGTTGGCATGTGAAATGTTGATAGAGTTGAGAATAAACTTTGGAATCGTGCTCCACAGACATACCTTGTGGTCAAATCTTGCAATGCAATCGCGTCAGTTAATTTATCAGTTTATCACAGTAAGTTGATAATTGTGAGGGTCATGCAGTACTAGTTTCCTTACCTATGAGACAGAAAGGCCAATTTCAAACTCCACCTGGTCCCGAGGTGTGTTCCAATATAGCTGATCAGGTTCATCTTCTTAAAAAGATGAAGAGGAAATGGCAGGGGTTATAGTGAAATTAAAAAAAATGCTGGAAATACTCAACAAGTTAGCGAGCATCCATCGGAAAGAAGCAAATGTTTACGCTTTATGTTCATGACCTTTCACCAGAAGAATTCTCATGAAAGGCTATTTTCTTGAACGCTTAACTCTGGACAGAATGTTGTTTTATTCAAGCCTAAGTGTGGAGGTGGATGTCAGAGTTGGAGGGACATCTGCTCTTATGCAATAATGCTTCTTATGAGCTTATTACATATTTATATGTTGATAATGTGCCACATTCTATAGACAGGAAGTAATGAGGCCTTCTGGGAACATTTGGTGCTAAATTTAACAATATGGACAATCCTTTACTCTCGGCAACATAGGAAGCATCACTGAACGTCAGCACATCACCCTTATCCACCCCTACTGTTTTCGGAGACCAGGCAGAAAGTAATTAGCAATGCTTTGGTGGTGCCTCCCTAGAAATCCTCCTAAAAAACAATCCAGCAGAGAGGGGGAGTACTTTTGTCTACAATAATACTGAGATGCCAACCTGACAAACAAAGGCAGACTTGAAGGCAGAAGTCAACACCCATGAGTGCTGCAAGAGGACACATGCTTTACTTCCATTTAGCTCAGGTGGAGTGGGTACTGACTTCCTCTTCAGGGCGCACGATGATGATGTCAGCTGCACTGACTTCAGTGTGAGTCAGGAGATATTGATTTTTTTTGAAGAAGAACAGCATGGGAATTCTCTGCAGGACTGTGACCAATATTTAACCCTGAGAGAACACAACTAATAATGATACCATTTGAGGAAGACCAAGGGAATCCTGCTCCTTGGGTCTAATGACAGTCATGGTTTCACTGAACGAAAGAATAGGCTCAAAGGGGCTACATATCTTATTCCTGTTTCTGTGTTATTGTCTTGGCCAGTATTCATCCTTCAACCAACATCATTGAAACACATAAAGTGGCCCTCTACATTGCTGTTTACATGTTCTTATATATTTCAGGTGATAAGTTGTCAAAACTCACTCGGTGTGACAGTGACATTACAATAGAAACCATTGGAAGAAGCTTTCATTGGGCATTGCTTTCCCACAGTACCTCCACATTGATCCATGTACAGGATCAATTGTTTCAATAACAAATGACTTACATTTATATAGCACTGTTCACAACCCCAGGGGTCCCAAAGTACTCTGCATCCAACAAGTACTTTGCAGGTACAGGGGTTCACTGATTTATGAATGTTCGACTTACCAGCATGATCCTGTAAAGTGTAGTTTTAAAGATCTGACATGTGAACATTTTCTTGTACTTACGAATTGTTTATTGTATATCTATTTTGTATTGTCCTGCATCGTGCTCTAACTTGTATACAAATCGACTTGTGAATGGACTCAAGAACAGAACCCATTTGCAACCCAGGGATTCTCTATACGGTCATTGTTGTACAGCAAAGTTCCACATTTAGAAAAGTGCTGATACCAGATAACTCATAGCTATCATGGTATTAATTGAGGGATAAATATTACCTCAGGGAAAACCAGCTCCGAAGAAGAGTTCGATTGGACTCATAGCATTAACTCTGTTTCTGTCTGCACAGGTGCTGCCAGACTTGCTGAGTTTCTCCAGCAGCCTCTGTTTGTGTACTAGGGCAAAGGCCCTTGCTCTTCTTCAAAATAATGACTTTTATAACCCCCCCACCCCGCCCCCAACCCAATAGCTCCGTCAGGAACTCAATTTTACCAGCTCTTTCAAAAGGTGGCACCACCTCCCCCGACCCCGCACCTGTGCAGCAGTGTCCTAGTGGGACCTGTCAGTCTAGAAGCTGTACTTAAGCCTGTGAAGTGGGTGTCTATTTGCAATTAGTTAAATAGTAGAGAGTATTCTACAGCATTGTAAACACATTTAAAGCTTACAGAATAGTGAATGGACTCTCAAAATCATCAAGTGAGTCACTCAAAGTCCAAAGGACCATTGTCTAGTCTGTAAACCAATCCAATCATCATGCCTTAAGAGGGCAGACTGATGGAATAATTTTAATTAGATTGATCCCTGGTGAAGTTCTGAAAAAACTAGTGATGAAAAGTATGAATGCTAACTGAAACAGTTGAAGCCCTCGGCAAACATAGATCAGATTGTTAAGCAACAGTGGTTGAAGACCATAACCTGGAATTTGTAAAGGGAGTGGAGAGGATTTAATGGTGAATAGCCAACACTGGCTGTCAGTACATCTCTTAACCTGAACTGGCTGTGAAAAAATAATTTTACATTCATGGCACTATTGCAAAACGATTAACCAGAAAATAAAACAATTCTAGTTTTAGGCTTAGAAATAAAGTATTTAATTGGCTGTAAAGCACTCAAGGATATATCAAGGTGGTGGAAGGCACTATCTAAAGGCAGGACCTTTTATTTTCTTGCTTTTTAATCTCACCAATGTTAATCATCACTGTTGCCAATGCAGAATTCCTGCTTTGTGGCAACAATTAAAGCACCCCAAAAGATTCTGCAATTTTTTCATACTGAGAGACATCTTACTAATGTAATGAGCCACCATTGAACTGATTTCTTATATTTTTCAACATTAACTATTCTGCTGGGGCATTGGAAGAAACAACGCCAATGCTGTGCTGGCCTTTAAAATGAAATTGGAAGAAAGACTTTGTTTGAAGACAGCAATTAAATGTAACAACTGTTCTTTAGGACAAGTAATTAAAACTATTAAGTATAACGATTGTTAGGTGCTTCAGGGATTGGGAGGCATGAGCTGTAAACTGACACCATTGATGACAGGGTGCACCTAGACAGAAAATATGTTGGGAATAGAAAGGTTCTTGCTGTGACCATTTATGCTGATTCTTGGAGCAAGACATTGAATTGTGCTTAGCAACAGATTGAGCTTTATTATATAATAGCATTCCTAACTGCATTTGCTAAGAACAAATTGTGCGTGTGTGTGTGTGTGTGTTCACATACTTTGTAATTTATCTATACTTTAATAACAGGTATTTTAGAGTCTGGATTTGAACTAGTGGCATGTGGGTTTGGTTTGTGTGTCTGAAGGTGTTTAATGATTAACTTGTAAGTATTTCAGTAGCCGTGGTGATTGCTTTTAGAGACAGTGAGAGGGAGAATGGCTGAGCTATAGTGAAGTTTTGTTTTTGTTGGGAGAGCTTTTATAACTGAACAAAATAAACAGGGATGCATTAGGCTTTAAGTGTACAAACTCAGAGATTTATTTTATTTTATTTTTATTAGTGGAAACACACATAGCTTAGAAAAGATTTTAGGGTTCAGCTTTGCAAAGCGCTTGCTGACAAAGGGAGAACTGTCAAGAAATAGGTTACTTCAGTGTAAGGAGTTTAGTTTAAAGCTCTCGACCAGATGAGCTTGGTTGAAACTCTGAAGGGACTGTTTGAAGCTGAGAGAGTGTAAATTCAGTTGTGTGAAGATTCAAAGAAGAGGTGATCAAATTTTCAAGACCTGAAGATGGAAGCCACAACTATGTGTAATATAGAAAAAAATCTTCTCTTTGATGTGAAATTTGTAAAAGAGTGTGGTTTGGATAAATGGGATTGTAGTTTACTGTGCATTTTAATATCTTTAAATATGTGTTATATATAACTAGTTTGGTTTATTCTTTTTTGCATAATGAGCTTCTATTTTGTTGTTCATAGCAAATCTACAGCATTGTGTGTTTGTGTCCCAGTTAAAGACCATCTCATTAAAACAAAAAACAAATCTATCAAGTAGCATTTCAGACTAAGATCTGACTTATCCAATAATAATATCAACTGCGGTCATAAAAATCTATATATATATATTTTATATATGTGTATGTGTGTATATAAAAACACCCCTCCTTCCTTTCTGTTGTAGACAGACGATAGTGTTAATTTTGCTGAAAAGTTAGAACAAGTCAAGTCTTATGCATTCTACACATGTTACAGCATGAATCTGATCTAATCATCAAAATTAGATGAGATCATCTCTGCTTTGGCTTTCATATGTATTCATAGGTGGTACATTTATACCTCCTGTCTTGGTTGAATTAGATAGTTCCATCATTTGTACTACAGACACAATTCTTGAAAAAGTTCTTATTATTCATTTAATAATTCATTTTAAATATAATTTTTTACTCTTTGTAAAGGAAAAAGACAGTTATATAGTGTATTTCACAATTCTGGAGTCTCAAAGAGTTTAACAATGAATAAAGTATTACTGAACTCACAAGAAATGTCGCTGTCATTTAGCACACAGTA